ATACATAAAATATGTGTTTTATATTAATTAGTTCTTTTTTTTTTTTTTTAAAAAAATCGGTTCTTTACATTTTGGTATGCATATTATTTGTGCAAAAGCAATATAAACTATTTTCATATTTATTGTAGAAATGTATTCTACATTGATTTTAGAGAAAGCTTCATGTAATGTAGCGTTAATCATAATATAGTGCCGTAGACATAGCCTCCAACGTTTGTGATTTTTCCAAAAACTTTTTCCAGAAATAGTAAAAAAAAAAAAAAAAAAAAAGAACGCAAAAGTTTTAAAAGCAAAGAAAAACTTTTATCAGAACTTAACATGACCATTTATTATTTATTGGTGGACAGAATTCTTCTTCAATTTTAATTTATTAAAATTATTAATACATTAAGAAAAATAGTATTTTCTGAGACTACATAAATTCCGTAGTAGTCTGAGAATAGGCTTTAACATTTGTAGAGTTTGTCCCACAAAATGTTTGGTAAATAATAATAATAATTAATTGATGCAACTTTGGCAGATTCTGGATTGCAGACGCAATTCAAATGTTAGAAGATAAGGCGGATCGTTTGCATAAGTCGGATTTCTCGCAGTTGCATTAATGGTCTAATTCCCGAACATTTTGTTATGTTGTGATCCAAAAATCGCCATTTAGAAACTCTGCAATGAAGATGGGAACCCCATTGAAATTGTCAATACAGAATTAAGTTACGTGTATTAAATTCTACATTCGCGTATTTTGGTGTATTTGAATAGATATTGGTGCATATATCTAATTTTTAGAGATTTATATACCGAGAATCCTATGTAGATTCGTTCTATTTCATCATCGCGGATTTCAATGTCTTTCAATAAAGAGCTTTCCTGCATGCCTGAAAAACTTGATCGAAATTGCAGCATGTTACGAGTTTCTAATGTTGAATGATTGGTCACTAAAATTATAACTGTCATAACTTGCTGTAGTAGACTTTTTACAATGCTAGTAAAATGGAAATTGAGCTTGCTTAATTATAAAAAAATATGTTTTGTCAGCCTTTAAAAGCACCACTACTCAATTCTCATGTTTTGTATAGATTTTAAAATATTTTAATGTGCCTAGGGATAAATTTTTTTTAAGAACTCCATTTATTAATTCAATATTAAAATATTCTAACAAATTCATCTGCTAATTAAGTTGAGGCAGGAGTGCAAAGACATTTTTATAGAAGTGTTGGGGTACTTTAGAGTGTTGTTTGATAACTGCTAGAAGGAAGCAATTTTTGATACTTTAACATAAGAAAGGCAACGGAAGGATATGAATTTCAACCTTTTGAACACCTTCCATATCTTTAATAACGTCAATGACTTTACCTTATGTATTATCAAAGTTATACATATACAGTGTACAAAAAAATAATAAATAAAAAATAAAAAAACGGATTACCCTGGATAATATTTTCACGTTCTAGGACTCAATCTTAATGGCTCGAAGAGGTGATCTCAAACATTCTAATTAATAAGTGCAGACGATATTTTAAGTTACGAAATCAGACACAAAAACATACTTTCTCTGAATAAACATACCTTTTTTCGACGGATACGGATTTATAATTCCCAAAATAAGCCTCAATCTGGGAAATATGGTCCCCATAGTTTCGCCAGGAGAGTGTTCCACAAAGTTTGAACCCCTTCATGCTAATTTTATATTTTGTGTATTTCGCTATATCATGAGAACTTTTTAAGCGAATTGAAATTTTTTTACACACGATTATAAAATGCGTTTATCCAAAGTAAAATTCTATGCAATAAATAACTTTTAGTAAATATTTTTTATTTTTTATTTATGAATAGTCAAAAATTTTTTGTATTGCAAGGTATACAATAGTTTGCATCATTTTAAGAAATGTAATTTCATATGGCAAAATTTGAGCGAAATAGGGTGAATATTTCCTGAGGAATTGAATTTCAAAAAAAGTCAGATACTCCAAATTTGATTTCTCAGAAACTATTCGATCGATTTGGCTTAAGTTTTGTATTTTGACATATAAAACTACATTCTTTAAAATAATGTAAAAAAACTGTATACCTTACAATTCAAACTTTTTTGATCATTCATAAATAATAAATATTTATCAAGAGTTATTTGTTGCATGGACTTGTCTTGAGATAAACGAATTTTATAATTGTGTGCAAAATTTTTTCAATTCGCTTAAAAAGTTCTCGAGGTATAGCGAAATACGCAAAAAATAAAATTAACATTAAGGGGTCCAAATTTTGGAGCGCTCTCCTTATCAAACTATTGGGACCATATTTTCCAGATTGCAGCTAACCGCTTTATTTTGGGGATTAGAAATCCAAATCAGGGGAAAAAAGGTATGTTTATTCAGAGAAAGTACGTTTTTGTGTCTGATTCCGTAGCTTGAAATATAGTCTGCACTTATTAATTAGCATATTTGAGGTCAACCTCCCGAGTCATTAAGATCGAGTCCTAGAATGTGAAAATCCGATCACTAAATCAAAAGTTATTCCGAGAGGTCTATTTTTTTTGCGCATTGTACATTTTTAACATAGTTTGAACAAATGTTTCTTTGAAAATTAACCATCTTTTTCTAGAGTTAAAATTGTAAACAGTAAAAATATAGTTACTCAGCTATATCTATTTTTAACTGAAAATGATAGAATAACAAATTTTCATTCACTTATAAAAGAATCCGATGGTTACATTGAAGAAGGAAGATTATAATTTAACCTTTTAATGGCTTATAAATACATTAACTTATTATTTTATTTTTATGCTTAATATTTCTTTAAAACATTATACTACACAAGTTACTTTACACGATTTGGTCTTTTATAGTGGTTCGATTAATGGACCATGCTTTGTAAGAGTTAATAAATACTGTTATTACAGGTAAAATATAACTTCACCATTTTTAATATACGAAAATGGAATTGCCAATACAGTGACTGCCAATAAACTATTCAGAAACAGATGGATCCAAAGAAAATTATGAGGTCAGAGAGACCAGCAGACCTAAATTCATCGATTGTTAAGCATATCACATCAAAGTGTGTAACTAAGGCAATGACTTACGCAAAAGGGTCTAAGAAGTATTTTACTATTTTTAACAAATTAATTCGTTCTATCTGGTATTGACGTTGCATTCATGAAAATACGAGACTATATGTACGGTCCAATTTATGTACAGTTCTTTTGCAGTGCGCAACTTAAATCAAAGGTGAATGAATTAAAGAATAATTCTGCACTTTTCACGCAGCATCCCGCATTCGCGAACGCATGTTTTGCTCAACGCAGTCTCTATAGAACAGAATAATCTCGTTTTTTTTTTTTTACCAAGTTTGAGCCGAACATACGTACGTGAACCTGAAGGATGCTACTCGAAAGTGCTAAATCTCTTCAAAGATGAGATTTTATAATTCATAACCATCGTTGAACAGCCGACCCAATTTAATCGGTTTATTACTACTAATGTTCAACTCCATAGCCTTGTAATTTTGAACCCAATCCAGAAGACAAGGGAACTCCTAGATCGAGTGTTGGGAGAAATTTGCCTTCGTGAAGGACTTTTCGATGGAGCTAACCCGCATTTGCGTTACATGGAGAAGAAGACTACAATAACCTCCCACGGTTAGCCTGACAGCAAGGGGACTCTAACTTATGATCCGTCTACCACTGAAGATATTTCAGGTCAGTACTGTGGTCGGTGCCTTAGAGGAGTAGTCTAAGGTTGGTGCAAGCCGGATGAGGAATTCGTATCGACTGGGTTCGAACCCGGTTCGCCCCAGGAACATTGGAAGGCGAACGCTCAATTCCCTGAGCCATAGAGGCTCAAAGATGAGATTTAGCATTTTCACTCCTCACTATTCCTGCACGTTCGCAGACTTGTGTTCTGAAGTAATACACAGTAGATAACGAAACTGCTTAAAATGCATTTAATTCTGCCAAGAACTAAAAATTAGGAAAGTCTGAATAAATAAACTAAGGGAAAACTTCCAAGCAAAAATATTCTTGCTCAATAAAAATATATGTTTTTTCAATAAAAAAATTTAATAGTAGAGTTTTTTTTTCAATAAAATTCGTTTCAACTTAAATGTAAAATTTAAAAAAAGAAAAAAAATACCGGTAAAAAACACTTCATGTAAAAAAAATAAAAGCCAAAACCATAGAACCATAAAACATTATTTCATTCTTACTTGTAAGGTAAAACATTAAAAAAGAAAAAAAGAAATGAAGATTAGAAGATATTGGAGAAGATCTCCCCTCCCAACCTATAGCTCAACCAACGAGGGACTCCAGGGAGGAAGATGCAAGACAGCCCCACCTCCAGCATTTCTCACCAGGAATATGTATAAAAAGGTTCCATCCCACACAATTTCTTTTTACCTACCCCAGAACATTCAAATTTCAAACAACTCACTTTTCAGGTAAGCACTAAAACCAGTTTCATTTACTACTTTCTTCCAATGAATTTTTATCGAAATTGTTATCTCGATTGTGATTGGTTCGATTTCAGATGTTATAATAGTAGCCAATTTAAATTGTGCTAAATATCGATTAAAAAATAATAACACTCGGAGTTACGTATGGAAGTTTAAGCAATACTTGATCAAATTTTGCATTGAAAAGTTGAATCAATGTTTAGAAATTTAAATTAAATAGAGATGAAATTTATTTGTCACTAAATTATTAAAAATTAAAATAAGCTTAAAAAATCAATCAAAAATAGTACCAAAAAGAGTATACTGTGGTAGAAGCAATAATAAAATTGGTAAATTTAACAATATAAATGTTAAATATTTATATAGTTAATTCGATTAATAAAATACTAATAAAATTGAGGAGCAGTGCCGTGTCAAAAGTCTAACACCCATCCTAACATTATTCTTTTTTCATTTAAACCGATACAACATTATTCTATGGAAACAATATTTTTCTCTTAACGAGGCACCTTTGAAAAATATTATGTCATTAATTTTCGCATATTGGCAAGACAATAATTAAAATCATTGGTTTAAAAAATTATCATGTTTCATACAAAATTTATATTTTCTATGCTAAAAGAAAGGATGAAGTTTAAGGCTTGGTTCTCTGTTTTAAACAACAGCAATTTCAAAAAATATTTAATTTGTGAAGCATATGAATATAATTCTAAATCAATTTGACCAATTTTTCTTAACTATTGCCCTTTAACATTTGCATGGCCTTAATAATTTCAAATTCAAGTCAAATTAATCAAATTTTACTATGAAAACGGAAACTTTGTTAAGCGTGTTTAACGCAGGGTTAAGCTGATGAATGGTCAACTTTTTCTCCGAAACTAAACTTATTTTATTGGATTAATAATAAGATAACAATTACAGGGACAATATATTGTCCACAATACTAAGCTGAAAAATAAAAAGGATTTTACTCTCTAAGTCAGACTCTTACAATATCGCAGCTGCAATTTTACATGTCATTTATATATATGCCGTAAAGGTTAAATCCTTTTCTCTTTAAAAAAGACCACATTGCATAGGATTATAGTGTCAATAAATATTTGTTTTAAATGTAAAACCTATTTATAGAATAATATTATTCAGGAACGGCGAAGCTTTAAATTATTCTTGTTCACCATAACTATAATTCCGTACGGTTAAAATAGCATAACTTTTGAAAGCTCAATTTTAAAATTAGATTGAAAATTTCTTAAATAGGAAAACAAAGGTTTTCTTTAGGACGCATTCCTTCACGATGGTAAATGCAATATTTCAAAGTAAAGAATAATTATCTTAAGATAAAAATTACTCTTTATAATGCGCCTAAATTGCTAAAATATAAAAATGCAATTGAAAATAAGTTTGAGATAAAAAAAAGCAGAAAACAAACTTACCGACGTGGAGTAAAAGTTACATATATATTACTTTTTATATTATAACATATCAAAAATAAATTTTAAAAAATATATTAGTACAGTAATTAAAATTGTACAGAACTATTATTAGAAGATAAGAGCTAGAAATACATCTTATATGCCCAGTTGTGCATACATAAAAGTTTTATTGCAAGAAGATTGTTTAGTGAGCAATATTACATTATATATTCATCGGTGAAGGTGTCAATCACATTGATATTGAGCAGTTCAATGATAATGAGCATTAGTAATGGACATTTTTATCTGAAATATGCTTTATGAGTTACCAATTTTTGTTAAAAACACTTACGAAAATCATAATTTGCCTATATTTGCTTCTGATCAAAAATGTTATGTTAAATATGCATTTAAGTGATGGTCCTTGATCCTCCTTTTGTTCATTTATTCAGTTTACTTGAACTAGTTCCAATTCTTAGATTATTGGAAAATACAATTTGCATTAAAAAAAAAGTTTTTTTTAAAAAAAGAAAATACGAGACAGCATCCTATGAGAAAAACATGCCGGAAAAAGTTTCACAAGCAATCAAAATTAATCGCTTTTGAGGTAAAAAGGACCACTGATTCTAAAAAGTTTTAATAAATTTAACTGAAGAGCTTAAAAAGAAAAGGTTCCCAGAGACACATATTAGTGAATTGGACACACCAACTTTAGGCAACTTAGCAACAGTAGCCAACAAAAAACCACAATATCGCACTTTTTTTTTAAAATTCAAATGGTACCTTCTTTAACTAAGCTCTTCAATTACTTTTTTTTAATTTTCTGTTGATAGTTTATAATCTATTAACAATTCCGGCACCTTGGAAAAATTTTGAGAAGAGTCAAACTCGGGAAAAACAATCTTCGTAGCGTCAATCAATGATAGTTCGCAGATAGTGAATTGCCTTTGACTAGTTTATGATAATTTTTAAATGTGAAATTGACATAGAAGTCAATAACTTAAAAATATTTATTTTTTCTTCATAGGTAAGAAAAGTAAAATAACCAAATGAAAATTTTAAAATTTAACAAAAACTATTTCCTTTACGCACTAAGAAGCACAACATGGAAAGCAAATAGCACTTAATTTTTAATTTATAACTATTCAACGAGTTTTGATACACTATGCTTCAGTGACTGAAAATATTCATGTTTCCAAAGACTAAATTATAATTAACAAATTTAAATCAAGTACAAAAATGTAAAATATTTACTGACAGAGAGAGAAGCTAAAAATTGGTAAAATTATACTAAATTAAAAAAAAAAAAAAAAATCCTCAAGAAAAATAATTTTTGTTATTGAACTTGATCATTCTTGCGTTACCGTAATATAGACAACTTAAATTTTACAAGAAATAATGTAAAGAGGAATGTCTTTGTTAAGCTCAATTTCGATGATCTTCGAAAAATTTATAATGATTATCTATTTCATTTTAATTGGTGCGGTTAGATCATTTTATTGGAGTAGTTTTTTATCATTCGTTTCGCTTTAAGTATTTTTCGAAAGTTTTTTTTTTTCAAAATTTGAATTGATTTAATAAAGAGTAATCTAAAATCGTATTTTTTACTATAAACTAATAAAAATAGTTCTAAGACTTGCATATTTATATTATGAAAGACTAAACGGAAAAGCGAAATTTGAAGGATTGAAAGTAGATTACTTTATACTGAGCCACGAGTTTTGTACAGCTTATGTTTTATTTATTTTTTTTTTTTTACAGCTCATTTTGAGGCAAGTCAATTTCGTTACTTTTTCAATACTTTTTGTTTAAATATTGAGAATACTTTTGTTTTGCTTTCTTTTTTATTGTTTTCTGTTTTTATTTATAGCGCAGCATTTTAACGGAACGTTTCTAATTAATTGTTACTTTTTTCCTATACGACACCACAGCTAGCTAGTAACATAAGCTGTTATTCTCAATGTTACAGTTATATATTAAGAACTTAGAGGAATTATTTTTTTGCTATATCTTTTGTTTTTTTTTGTTAATTTTTCTTTTTAGCAGCGTTTTCATTATGACAGCATTTTTTATAAAGCGTTTCTTACGAAAGTTATTCTTTCATCTTTAGTTTTTTCTAAAAATACGGCAATTTAAAAAAGTTAATTTGAGGTTTTTAACGTTGAATTTTTTGTTAATAAATTAATAACGATTTTCATTTTGGTATCTTTCTAACTCTCTCTTTCTTCAAAACACTTTTTTTTATCGATTTTTTATTATAACACAACAATTAAGAGGGTTTCTATTACACTTTTTTCTTCTTCTTAAAAATACGGTAATTGAAAAATTGAGATGCTCAAATTTAATCTTTTAATACAAAGATCTATTTTTATTTTTACTCTTTCGCTTTTGTATATAATCTTTTTTTCTTTTCTTTTTTATAATAGCAGGGCATTTTTAAAAGATTTTCTGATAAACCATATATCTTTAAACGTATTCTGGATACGTTTTTCTGGAAAATATTATTTTTAGCATTTAAGATCAATTTTAATTTTAAGATTTTTTTTTCTAATTATCAACTTTAGTTTAGTATTTTTTTTATAGTTGCTGTCAGTTTTTTTTTATTTATCTTAAATATTTCTGATGGATAACTATTATAGCTTTTTTCCCCTTTACCTACCAATAATATAACTAAGTTTTGAATATTTCTCAATAATGACTAAATTTATTTATAAATAAAAAACAATATTCACCATTGTTTTATTTAAAAAAAAAAAAAAGAAATGTTGCTATTCGGTCGATTTTTTAGACCAAATATTCGACCAAATCACTATTCGTTACATCCCTAATTAAAACACTCAAAGCAATAAGAAAAAAATTTAAATTCAGTTAAATGAAATTTTTGACGATTATTTTTGTTTACTGAAAGGGAGGTAAACAATGAATTATTCTGCATCTACAATAAAAACAAAAAGAAGGAAGCAATTTTATTCCGTTACAGACGAATGTTGTAAACAAAGAGAAGCAAATATAATTACAATAATCATCAGTAAATCAGTCAAATAAAAATGCTAAAATTCAAACGCTTCTAATCTTAACTTCATTTACTAATGTCATCACATACGACCACATTTGCGTAGATCAATTACACAATATTGAGCACAGATATTTTTTTCTAAGTACAAACAAGTCAAAACATAACGTGACAGAACTTAATATAGGTCAACCTTTGTTCAAAAGTAACGGGAGGCCCTTATCTTTTTAAGGGGCGATCAAAACTCGAGAACTCCGGGGAAGTGCACTCTTGAAATCAAGGTGAGGATAAATTGTACGGCTGATGTTACGGGACATTATCCCGTAAATGATGGATGTAAGATGAGGGGAGGTATAAAAAAAAGTTCAAGGTCCTACATTCACACGACCAAAATACTCGAAATGGGCGTAAAGTCAGGGGACTTTTTTTTACTCTTGACTTGAGGAGAAGCATCATAACACAGTACAGTTAAAAAGAAGAAAAAATGAATAATAAAAGCTTTAACGGTACAGGAGCTTTAAGAGGTGTTTGTTTGCCCTATAAATAGACATAAAATATTT